GTGTGTGTGTGTGTGTGTGTGCGTGCGTGTGCGTGTGTACACAAACACATATATAATACAATATTATAATTTATTTTAAATATTATTTTAATTAGAAACTTAATGTATTTTTTTACTAAAATTAAATTATTACTAAAGAAATATAGTAGAAAACTAATTAAAATATTTTTAATATACGACTATGACATAAATATCTTAATAACACAATTTTACAACAATACATTTTGCTAAAAAATGTCCAAGCAAATATATATAATAACAGGCAATCATTTTTACGTCTTCAGAATACATCAAAGAATAAAACTGCTTATTAGAAAGAAGTCAATAATAAAGTATTTAAAAAAGAACTTGAAAAGTTATTTTAATAATTTTAATTTTATAACATACAGCTCGAACAAATGGCGTGTTCTGTCTGTCGCTATTTTGCGGGTACGCAAATAATTTATAATTATATTAAAATATTCGTTTTTTTTTTACATATAAAATTGTGCGATGGGTCTCCTTCGTAAATACTTGCTTACATCTCAAGATGTTTGGAACATTTTATTTTATTTTAAGAGGAACATAATAATTCTCAATAATTCCTGTATAATTTTCTTACTCAACATTATAGAATTATGTTTTCAGTGATTAGTTGTAAAAAATTGGCTATGAATTTTATGTCAGAAAATAATATTTTCCTTCGTTGCAAGGAAATCATTTTTTACAGTATAATATTATGTATTCAACAATAAGTATAGTTTTATTGATTTTTCAAAGCAAGCAAGATTTTTCAAAAATAATGTGTATATTCCCCAAATAAAATTCTACAATCTTACCTTAATTAAAAATTAAAATCGCATTACTGTCATCCGTAGACAACTCCAAAACGCTGAACTTGATCACCATAAAGTCATCACAATTTTATCACTCTCATTGCTTCGGTAGCAAACGTGACTGGTTACAACGAATAGTATTTAAATGGCCACGCGCATTTCCGGTGAAACAAAAAATCTCGTGAGAAAGAAATAATAATAGAGAGAATAGGACGAATATTCTTCACCGTTTTATCTCATTATTGATTATGCAACTACTGTGCGACACTACATGGCCATACCGATGATCCACGATTTTAACAATCACGCGAAATTGATTGTGAACGTCAAACACGGCGTAGCTCGTACCCACTCACCGAAAATCTACGATAAAACTAACTGCGCGAACTGTCGCTCTGCAACTGACCGACAGACAGGTAACGGCTTTCGCGCCGGAGCACTTCGGCAATTTTCGCCTCACTCACTGCTCGGCATCGCCGGACAGTCGCTCCCGACTTCTCATCGCGTCTTCGGTCACCTTCGCTACTGCTCGGCCGCGCTCGAGCGTGAGTGACAGACTCATGGACGATAAATCAGCTGCTCGATTCGATTTCAGTTATTTCACGGACTTGATGTATGTATAATACATGCGTTGAGCAACCATATATGTCCATATCTTTACAGAGTTATTTAATTCTTTAACGCACGAGAAATTAATATAATAAAAATTCAATTTTTATGAAAATCTATCAGATAGAAATAAATTAAAACATGTAAAAAACGATCGAGATTATTGTTTATATATATATAATTTTTGCGCTTAATTTCTAAAGAAATATTAAGTTGAGAATCAACTCACTATTTGACGACAACAATAAAATGATATGATAATTGTATATTTAAAATCAACTTTTATTCCTTATAAAGACTAATGTGCTGAAATTTGTCTTTAAAAAAGTATATCTAATCTATAATTCTCTTCATACCACGTAATATCAGCACTGATTAAAAAATTCATATTTTTCAAGATTATTGATTTGTGTGTGTAGGTGTGGATATGTGTATGTGATGTACAATAACATATGTACATCGACACTTTATTCAAAGAATATTTTTGTTATTGCGTATTATTTGCTTAGATATCGTTTATAATATATTTTATTTTATCGACGCATTATTAATTCATTCATACAGGTTAAAATAGCAACTTAATTCTTTCACATTGATGAATTTATTAATTTTATAGAAATTTTATTAGTAAATATATTGATATTATTGTATAATATAATCGGCAATAGCATTTGCATTATAACAAAAAAATTACATCTGATGTTTTTGATCAATGTATTATTACGAATACGTTTTTGCTACGCTATGCTAAAAACATTTACATATAATATTCAAATTTTCCTTATAGATACGAAAAAAATAAATTTATCACAGCGCAGTATGTCGCTCTATACGTGAAAGCGATAAAATGGTTATTACGTTTTGCAAAATCATAATAACCTGATTTGTGCGGATTAAGCGAGAGTAAATAAATCACCAATTCTTCATAGATTGCTGTAAACGATTTCGCCATTCGTCGGACGTTATATGCCGAGAGCAAGAAAATCTACGTAATACTAACAATAAGAATCGCCAGTCTGAGAAAGTTGAAATTATATGTACAAGAAAGAAATCGGTAAGAGATCAAGAGGAATAAAAATAAATAGGTAATAAGTACAATAGAGTTGATTTATCCAAATAAGTTCTCTTGTTGATTCTCTCGAATATTTATTTTGTTACGCCTTATAAATTTTTGTAGAATTGTACATTTCGCGAGATTGGTGAAATATTCCATTTGACGAATAAAATATTCATCATGACTTTCAGCTAAAATACAAATTGAATTGCATTATAAAAAGGAACTTTAAAAATTACTTCAAAAAGTTGTATTTTTGACAACTTTATTAGAACTTAGGGCTTTTTTAATAAATAAGAGAGAGATTCAAGTCTACAAATTTTTACGTTTCCAATTTGACAATAGGCAGAGTTTTCTTCTAGAAAATTATTATTAAATTAGTTAAAGATATCACATTTTGAAATATTACCTTTGGATTATTATTTATCAAAATAAAAGTTAAGACTTTAATAACATAAAAATGTGAGCAAATATACTTTGTATCATCTTGACATCACATAATTATTTAATTATATGCTATACTTAATGCTAATTGCTTATTGATATTCCTTCAAAATCTGTAAAAAAATCTATATCACATAGAACAAACGTTTAGAAATGATAATAATTGTCTTTCAAGAATCTCTATGACATTATAGATAAGAGAGAGAAAGAGAAAGAGAGAAAATTTTATCACTAAAATTGTTTATAACAAAACAATTGTTTACAATTTAGACAATGATAATATTAATTAATGAAAATGGATTACTTGAATAATTTTTATATATGTAAAAGCTATCTCTAATCGCTGACTGTGTGTGGAGGATGCATACTGATTAGTAGATATATTTATAAATTAATATTTCGTTAACTATTGCGAGACTCGCAAAAGTACCAGACTTTTTTATTCAGTTTAATCCACTTTATTTGACCATGAATGGTGTTACATCTAATGTCAGACACTTTATAAATTGTTTATTTATAATAAGCATCGTTATTTACTTATTTGAAGTATTGCAAACTTTGCACATGCTTTTTCAATCAGCAATTTATTAAAAATTTTTAAACTTGAAAACAACTCATGTTTTTCTTTTTTGTTAAATTTGATAAATATTGGTAATAGAAATAGATAAAAAAAATAATAGCTTTGGAACACTTAAATATTAATCCTTATCTGTGCATCCCTAATTATAAGTGTACTCTTTATGTTCTTATAACATCTCTTATACAGATGGCGGTCTAACGGTTTAATGACACAGAATTTCTCCAATACTTTATACGCATAGTCACACAGATTTCCCTTTGTCAGCAAACTTAAAGACGTACGTTTCCAATATATATGACTTCGGTAATCGGTATAATATACCCATCTTAATGTATGCACAAGATATTCATGTACAAGATATTTCATGTACTTACATACTTCTTTTTATTTATAAACTTTTTGAACTAATTTAATTTAAAACAGATGTTTTTTTAACAAAAGTAATTTTGGAAGATTAAGTTCGTAAATTATAAAATATCAAATATAAAATCTTTTAATAGTTTAAACTAAATAACGATTAAATAACGATTGAACTAAATAAACCTTATATTGTTTGAATAATTAGAGTTAATTAAGTAAAGAATCCAGTTTCGAAATGAATATCTTGAACATAGTGCGTCCAAACAAATTTGTATTAGATTCATTGATATGTACATACATAGTGCAGATTAGTTTACATTTCTGGAAGAAATTGAATTACGATTTTCATAAAAAATGCAATTGTAATTTTAACTTATCACAATATTCAAAATATTATAATTTGCGCAATTTAACATCCATTTTATATCATAGTCATTAGTATATTATGAGACACGGTTGTGTGTTGGCGCTATAAGTTTTAAGTGAGGGACTTACACTTATCTTCTGGTGTCGGTTGGAAATACTAAGGGTGTGCATGTTAAGGGTCACGCATGAAATAGTATAACTGCTAGCAACGGTTACGTGCCAAAACATCGTCTCACAACCATCTGCCTACCTATAGCCGTTGTAGACACAATGTGCTCTGTTAATTCTTTTTTTCCGCGTTTACACCAACTTTTAATTTATTTCACAAAACGTTACGAAACTGCATTAATATTTCGAACTCAATATTTTGATCGATTAAAGGCTTGATTAATGTCATGCATATATATTATTTTATTTAAAAAGTTACCTATGTTGTTATATTGTTATACTTATCTAATCGTGTTTTATATCTCCTGAATTCTCATATCACATTTTGTATAAAATATTTCAAAAAAACTGAATGTCTGGGTAGCATATAGATTTTTTTATTAGTGTAAAGATTTGGTTAGTAAAATATTTTGGGACACAATTGAAAAAATAATTTTTTATACTAAATTTTAAGAAGTCAAATGGATAATAAAATTACATTTATCAACTAATTTTGTAAACTAAATTTATTATAATTAAATTTTAATTTGCGAGATTTAATTACAAAGGTGATATGATGTTAAAATTAATAACTGTAATAAATAATTTTTGTTGACATTTTTAATAAAGAAAAATTAATTTCACAATTGGTCAAAGAATCTGTCGCTAAAAAGCCATTGCATCTTTGAGATTATTTATATGTAGAAGAGACCGGGGCTGATTGATACATTTTTTTAATGAATTTTTTACATGTAATTAATAAATGAAATAAATACCGCAAAGATATTTTTCAATAGCCACATGCTTCAACAACAT